TTCTTAGCTCTTTTTCTCCTTTGCAAGCTTCTTTCCCCTCTGTGTTTGTATTTTTAAAGTTTAAAGGACAATCTGTCCTGCATAATAAAAGTCCTTAGTTATCTAATGGCTAAATGTATTTCCGGTAGCAAAAACATGAAGCTTCTGTTCTGCTACATAATTCTGTCATGATCTGATGAGAATTAACCTGTTTGCAAGGAAGAACAGCTTCATTTTTATGGAATTTATATCCTGCACGGGATCACTATGAATAACGTTGCCATGAACTAGGTGGAGAAGAGGGGGAGGGGCTAGAGCTCAGCCTCCTCCCCTCAAATCACCAGCAATCACAGGTCACAAGGGCGTTAAAGGCACCACTAAGTACCTTCCTTCAGACACGATTTCTCCGAAAACATTAATAGAATTAATGTACCTATCCCCATAGCTAAGTACCCATAAGTCAACTTTATTTTATAAGGTGTAATAACTTCGTTGGAAAAGTTAGGTTGGTTAATGTTATTTTTTTCCCTTTCTTTTTCCTCTGCCATCCTACCTCTCTGCTTTTTTGAACCTTTTTGTATGATGTATTAATTCTGAGCTAATATCCTATATTCTGCTTTACACATTAGTTAAAATCAGTATTGTGAACTGAATCTAAAATTATGTCAGGCTCCAAAGATTGTGATAGTTGTTTAAAAGTCACCTGGACTTTAAATGTTAAGTTTTATGTTATTTATCTTCAGAGCCTTGTTTTCTGAGCCTCACTTGGATCAAGATATATGTTTTCCATGTTTTTCTTTACAATGCAAGAGGAAATTTTCTCCCAGACTTAGACTGTAGGGGTTGAAGATCAAGCATTTAAAGACTTCAGATGAGATTGTAGAAATTGGTAGTACTGATGCCTGTTATCATGGCACAACTCTCTGAATTCCCCAAAAATCTACAGTGCAGTCTGAAATTCAGAGGAAAAGAGGTGTATATCTGTATACATACTATATCCATTATATGATGGATTTCTTCCCAGGTTCAGTCCCCGTACCCTCCCAGACACAGGTGACCACCATATTCTCACTGACTGGCCAGCATTTCTTTCATGCTTCTATCTAGTAATTTTGATTTGGTGGAAACCATTTAACAGCAGACTGATTCACTAAGACTGAAAACTGGGAAAATAAGGCTACTTTATGTGATTAAATGGAAAAAGAACATGTTTAAACTTCAAGACACTGTTTACTATGTGTTCATTAGGCATGTTAATACCATCTCTTCAACAGTTCCTCCTGTCAATAGACCACACAGGACAATAACTACTCAGAACAGAAACAATTAAATAGAAAAACCCAGTGGAAAACAGGAAGGTGAAAAGAATACATTGATGGAGGAAAACACTAATTTGCAGAGTGAGACACAGTCCTACATGTAGAAGATGAAGGGGGGGGGGGGGGGGGGGGGGGGGGGGGGGGGGAAAGAATGAGGTTTTTTTTTTGCCTTTGTTTTGCATACATAGTAAAAATCTCTTTGCATTTATCAGCTAAAAAATGTGGTGAAGAATGGTTATTTTGTATTCATGCAGTTACAGCACATACAGTACAGCAAGAATATGCTGGGTAACTGGAAATTTCACAAAACTAATTTTGAATCACAGATTTGGTGACACTAATTTATTTTGTTGCTCTTAATTATTTTAGCATCTGACTTCTGACATGTAATGTAGCATAATCACATAGAGGACTTAGTAAAATGTTTGTATTTACAAATCCAGTTGCTCAAAAATTACCCTTCAATAGTATTCAGAAGATTTTATGCATCACATATATAATGTCTTGATACGGATTAGAACATTTAGTCAAAACTTGTTGTCCTGCACACATGGCAAGGGCAAGAACAAGTAACGTTCTGACTGCCAATGTTTTGGTTGAATAGGCTTCCTGTTAGTTACATGACTTCTCGGGATATCTGATGTGCATTGTGAAAAAATCTTCGCTGTACTGCTTATCTTACTGATGTAGCTATTTCTTAGTAGGCTGATGACACATTAAGCTTGGATACATGCATGCATTCCCTGTGATGCTGCAAAACCAGTGAATTGGAACAACTGCTATTTGCTTTAATTATGTGGTACTTTAGTGCATACCAAATATTTGAATCAGAACTGACATACTTACAAGCTGCCAGTAATAAATTGAAGGTTGAGAACCTGAGTTTGACACCCTCAAAATGGGAACTCAAAATGTTCCAGAAGCAGGTATTTTACCTCAGCTGTACAGTCAGCAGGAAAGGACTTACTACTGAAGAAAAAGGAAAGCTAGGGCTGCACAGGACTATCAGAACCCCCAGAAACATGCTTGCTGAAGTTTGTGACACTCTACTGCTTTTATAAAAGCAGTTATGGATCTGTCAACATTTCAAAGGCACCACAGTGACTGAGAGAGCAGGGAAAGATATTTCAGTTGTTAACAGAACCATGTAGTATAATTAGAGCTGAAATAATACCCCTTTAATACTAGATGTAAGTATTTAATTTCACACTTTACAGGCTGTTTTGACAGAAGAAGACACACACTTACTGCTTTAGGTGGAACTAATTTTTAACAGTAAGTACTATTGTTAGCCATTGTGGATAGAACTTGTTTAAGACAGGCAACTCCTTGCTCAAAGAACAAATGACATTTATATATAAAAAATGAAACAGAAGGAAATATATTCAATCTCTAAGTCCTCTACCAGAAAAAAAGATAGAAATCTAAGGGTTGCTGAAAATGGTCCAAACCTTCATGGGCTTTGCCTGCATCCTTGACAGAACATGGTATTAGTCTCTTCAGGAAATCATATGGATATGGAGTGGGTAGAAGAACTTAGGGCTGGCATAGAAATATGTTAGTTTAATTTTTTGTGAAATGTAAGCTCATTGACTAGCTTGAACTGAGGAAAGCTGGCGATGATATGTAATCACTGGTCTTTTTCAAATATTATTGGAAGCAAATTTGAAGGCCTGTTCATAGAAATTTACATAAGAGTTTAACTCAGCAGTGAAATATTAATTATATGAGACTTGCTGGCAGCACCAGGTCTGGGCATTATGAAAAATTTGTTAGAAAGTTGTGATCTAAGCAAAAAGAGGTATATTTAAACATGCCACATAGAAATTCAAAGATAAGACTTTTTTTCACAAGTCAGCTATATGTTAGTTCTGGTGTTCATGGAACAATCTCTGTTTTCTGAAAGCCTACAGTGGGGATTCATGTGTGTGTGAGTGTCTATGTATATTTAATATACGTATGCACATATAGATGTATACAGACATACGCACTATATATGGTGACAGAATATCATAGAACAGAGACGAGCAGATCCATAGCCAAAATTTGTAAAGGACTGTAATGGATTTTATGTATTCATAGAATCACAGAATATTCTAAGCTGAAAGGGATCCACTAGGATTATCGAAATCCAGCTCCTGGCCCTGCATAGGACAGCCCTAAGAATCATGCCATGATTCATGCCATGTGTCTGAGAGCATTGTCCAAAGGCATCTTGAACTGTGTCTGGCTTGGCTCTGTTACCACTTCCCTGGGGAGCCTGTTCTAGTGCCCAACGACCCTCTGGGTGAAGAACCTTTTTCTAATATCCAAACTAAACCTCCTCTGACACAACTTCAGGCCATTCCCTTGGGTCCTGTCACTGTCACCACAGAGAAGAGATCAGTGCCTGCCCCTCCTCTTCCCCTCACAAGGAAGTTGTAGACTGCAATGATGTCTCCCCTCAGTCTCCTCCAGGCTGAACAGACCAAATGACCTCAGCTGTTCCTCATACGGCTTCCCCTCTAGACCCTTCACCACCTTTGTACCCTCCTTTGGACACTCTCCAATAGCTTTATACTCTTCTTATATTGTGGTGCCCAAAACTGCACATAATATTCAAGGTGAGGCCGTACCAGTGAGCAGAGATGGACAATCATCTTCCCCAGTCGGCTGGGAGATTCAGATTACAGTGTCGAAAGGAGAGGGCCTATATAAGTAGAATATGTGCAGGGAGAAAAAGATGATGATCGTAAGTTTTATTCTGGCTATTCTTAATGTTATTCTTAGCATTAGCTATTCTTAGCCTAAGGCTATTCTTAGCCTCAAAATGAGTTTTTAAAGATATCTGGCTGAGCAAAATTATTTGAATTATTTAGGCTGAAGCAGAGGGAGGCAAAAAAACTCTCCAACCTGGACAGATAGAGCTACCAGTTCCCAGGTATCTCAAACAAATATGACAAGGCTCGTAGGAAGAGGTAGATTGGAGGAGAGGAAGACTGACAACACCGGAATGAAAAGAAGCTGCATTGTGCATGTAACCAGTTGTACTCATCCTGTGACACTTTCTGCTGCTCTCAGCCAAATTTTGCCTGTGATGTCTTCCCAAAGGAAGCATACGAAGCATCATCTGCTAGGACCGACGGGGCGACTTTTCCACCTTCATTCCCACCGCTTCCTGGAGCTTCTCCACAAACCCCCACCACATGTTCCTGACAGGTGCCCCTAAAAATTGATCCAGGAAGCGGCAAAGGGCGGCTGGGAGGCGGCCGGCCCGGGAGCAGCCGCTCCTCCCGCCCCCCAGCGCAAGGCCAGGGCAGGCACCCCCTGCCCGCGGGCTCACCCGGCTGAAGCTGCGGGAAAAATTGTTTCAGAGGGCGGCTCATGAACCCCCCGCCGGGGCTGTTCGCGTGCAGAACATCAAAGCACTCGGGGCTGAACGAAGTTAGAGCGCCCCGTGGTTGCTCGTAATTAGAAGAGGGAGAACGTCGCGGCGGGGACTCTGAACGTCGCTCCCGCGGAGGTGCGGCGGGTCTGCAAGGGCGGGGGGCGCGGGGATGTCTGTGTAGGCTCTGAGGCCGTGGGGTCGGGGCTGCCTGGCCTCCCTTCCCCGAGGCACACGGCGGGGAACACGGTCCGACCCTTCAGGGAAGACCCCTATCCCCCGCCTCCTAAAGGGAGGCGGGGTGGAGTTTGCCGGCCCGCAAGTGTGGGAAGGCCGGGCAAAGTGGGCTCTGTGACGGGAACAGCGCCCCGGCTTTCGCCGCCGAGAGGGACCCGCCGCTGTCAGCGCAGCTCGGCGCAGCCCGCAGGGAGCCGTGCCCGGGTCCCGTAAGTGGCTCCTCTCTCCCGCCTTTCCCTTCCTCGGGACCGGGTCGGCGAGGGGTTGGAGGAAGTGCCGCTGCCGGGGCCTCTCGGCTGGCTTGGAGGTGCTGGCGAGGGCTCCCACGTTCCAGCCAGGCGAGAGCCCCCGGTGTGCGGCCGGAGGGCCGCTGACCCTCTGCCTGCTCCGAGGAGTTATTCTTAGCGCCGGGCGACTTGCGCGGGGAGAGAGGCAAGGACTTTTCTGCTGCCTTTTAAAGTCCGCTGGGGGGAAGCGGCGCTGGCGTTTCCCTGATGGCCCTGGTCGCGTCCCCCCAGCGCTGGGCGCTGCAGCCGGGGGCGCGGGGCGTGTGGAACCTGCGGGCGGGGCACAAGGGGAAAGGCACCCGAGCGCTGCTGGGCAGCGGGTGTGGGACTTTGTCTGCTGGTCCTGGGGCAGCGTCTGCTGCTGCTGTAAGTTTGGAGGCGTGGATGGGTGAAACGGCGCTCCCTGGGTTTCCGACGAGCTCGATCTAAGACTTTACCTGGAGTTGCTGTCCATGCAGGTGCTGCCCGTATGCAGGGGTTTACTGACTCAAAGCACACAGTGCAACCACAGTTCTTCACTGCGTTTTGAGACACTGGGGAAATCACACTGCAGTGGAGAGCATGAAGTGGGTGCAGGTCCCTAACTGTGGTAAGGCAAGTTTAGGAAACGTGAGATTGTTCCCTTCTGCCAACTTTGCATGTTTAAACGTAGAAATATGTTTGAAGTATGTCACCCAACTGGCAGCCGGAGAAAAGTAGTCCAATAAAATAAATTTAAAATTTGAGATGTCTGAAGCAACAGAACATAAACCTTATGTTTAAAATATTAAGTATCACTCGAGATTTATGATAACATTTGGATGGTAGAGTGTTGTGGATCTGATGGAAGTCTTGGGTCTGGGTGAACTCCATTAATTTGGCTGAATTACCTTAGTTTGGGGGAGTAGGGTTATCACACCGCTTGGTTCTGACAGTGCATGGAGTTTCTTCTGATTTTTATGCCGGTGCTTAACACATGATTCCAGCAAAAGTAACTTACTTGCAAAAGGAATATAAGTTTCCTGAAGTTTGGCCTCAAGTGTGAAAGGAATTACTTCAAGCCTACCATCTGCTTCAAGTATATTAATACCTGACATTATTTGAAAACCTTTCAAACGTTTCTCTTTGTATTGTTCGTATTAAAACCAAAACAAATATATTGAGTGGCATTCAGATGTTTCAGAGATGGAGAACATAAGACAAGGGATCATGGCATATAGAACTTGTATATATTGAAACAAGCTGGTGGTAGTTTGTTTATGCTAGAAAGACAAAACACATTGTATGAAAAGTTCCTGTAGACACTGTGCAGATTCAGTACACAGTGGATCTTGGATTAGAATTTGGATTACACACTGCGGACAATGTTTTGAATTCTGGTTTGTGTCTCCTAATGGCATTAAAACATTAAGATTGATTGTAAAAATAGGCATTAGGCCTATAAAAAAACTTGTTTTCATTGGTACATATAATGTACAATATAGTCAGACATAAAAAGACTGCCTGTCCTGCTCCTATAAGCAGATCTCCGTTGCTGCAATTAATTCCATTTGACTCTACCCTGTCCCCACAATTCTAAACCCCACTGGGCTCTGATACAAATTGGTACAGGAACAAAACAACCCCACAGAGACATAAGTAGCTAGTTTTATATCTTATGCAAAGTGCAATGATAATTTGTACAAATGGCATACATTTTTACTCTTTTGCCACATGTTGTGATGAAGATTATTCATGCATGGAGTAATCTTCTGTCTAACTGATGTTACTCAAATACTACTTTTGATTCTTCAGACGTGGATGAAAACTGGCACTTTGTGAAGTGTTAATGCAATGAAGCTTTTGATCCTGAAGCTCAGTATGTTGGCTAGCGTGTGCATGTGTAAATGGTCCGAACAAAGTTGTTGACCTCAGTAAAAATGTACTTGATAAGATGCGTGACTGTGTAGCTGTTTCTAGCTTTGTACACACAGATTAAATCAAAATCAGTTTCAACTTGCCTAATAATCGCAGAATCACAGAATATCCTGAGTTGGAAGGGCCCACAAGGATCATCAAAGTCCAAATCCTGGCCCTGCACAGGACAGCCCCAAGAATCACACCATGCCTGAGAGCACTGGGTTAATAAATTAATGTACTTAGCATATTTTCCATCTGCCTGTATATACTTCTAATTTTTTTGAGTTTAAGATTTTAGTTAATAAGGTACACAGGGATGACAATGACTTTGGAGTCAATGTGTTGTTATTGATGCCATTTATTAGCTACTTTATGGGGATATTTGATATATGAATATGTTGGCATAATACGTGGCAGTGAGTACAGAAAGACAGGCAAGATAAAAGAAGAAGAATTTAAAACTTTTTAAAATTTTTCACTTTTTAAGTGTTTTGGCAACAATGTATTTCGAAGGAGGAGGTTTCTTTTTGTAACTCAGTGATTGCAGGTGGATGTGACAGAGACTCAAGCTAGTCAAGACTCCTGGGTAATTATGTTGGATATAAGAATCCAGCAGGAGATCTCGAGGTGAAGAGAACTGCTAAAGATCCACCTATCTTGGGTGAAAATATGTGAAACTTAGTTTTACAAGCGTAGGGACCAGAAATGGGACAGAGATTGAAAACACATATCAGCTTAAGTCAGTGTGGGTTTTAACTTGTTTGAAAATGCATATTACTTCTACGTTTCTGCTTGCATGTACTGCAGAGTAACTGAGAAAAACTGACTGGTGTTCATTGCAAAATGAGATGTATTGAAAGGTGCTTGAAGATTTAGTTCCTCCTTTCGTACCTTGGCAGATTTTTGTTCAATTTGCAGTGGACTATATGTTTAAGACAGAGGCAAATGAAGGGGAAAGACTGCAAATGATCAAAAAGGAACTTAAGCTATATGTCATTCCCTAAGTTTAAGATCAGAAAGCTCTTACAGCTTTACCCATACACCTTTTGATCATCTTCACTTGTGTTGGTTCCATAGGTATTTTGGCATCCATCCATCATGATACAGGTATCACATGACACTAAAAAAAACTCCCCAGCTAGACATGGCATGCTTTCCTGGTTTGCCTGCTGTTCTATTTTTAACCAGAACCCTCTCTAGCTCATACAATTATATGCTTCAGGAGAAAACCCTTTAGGAAATTTTCCTTCACATAGGCAATATTAGCTAGGGCACTAACATAAAAATATAGCATGCACTGTAGGGTACTGGTCCTGTCTTTGACTTATTCATTTTTTATACTAGAATGAGCAATCTTCTGCCATTTCTTTTCCCCTCAGGTACCTCTCAGGCATTTGGTGATCTATTAATGCCATATAGCCAAAGGTGTAGAAAAGAGCTATCAATGCCATTTTAATGCATATTTGTGACTTTAAATCAGAACTTCATGTGTTCATGTTTTTCCATACTAAGATACTAAAAATTATTTTATATGCTGCCGAAATTATTAAAAAGTATATAAAAATATTTGGAGTCATGTTTCTGTGTCTGTAAGTTTTCATGTATCTGAAAGTGCCCAGCTTCGTGATACCTTTGCTGTTTATCACATCACCTTTGATCCCTCAGTGTCATGATACAGTACTGATCCTCAGTCTTGTCGATTCTCATCCTTCTGTTTGTTCTCTACTTGGAGTAAGACTCATCTTCATTCCGCTGGTGGTAAGTCAATTGACAGGGCTGTTGGAAGCAAACAGTTGAGCTTTCAGAAAATGACAAACGTGTCCTCCTCTCTGCTGGGAAAAGCATTTGTATAAGTGATCTGCCACTACAACTCCAGTGAGAGTTATAAAGGTTACTAGTAAAAGTGGCTTCTGGGATTCCTAAGTTTAGTCATTGCTGACAGTCATCTAAGATCTGCAGTACTATCTTGTGCGATCTCAACATTGTAATTTATCTGAGTGGGCATACTCCAGGAGGAAGATCATTTAGAAACACACTGAATGTTGTCATTGTTCTTATGAGTTCCTGCATAGGATTGCATATGTGTGGAATGAGATTTCTGAATCTCTGTGAAATACTGATGGGAAATGTATTGCAAGTGCTTGACCACAGAATGAGCTCAGGACATCTTGTTCTACGGACATCTGGAAAAGAAATACAGCATTACCTCAAATAAAACATTCTGCTTATGAGATGATTGTTGAAGGTCTCTTAATGCCAATATATGGGCTATAGCAATTACATACACAGATAGATATCCTTTAGTTCCCTCCGTCTTACTTGACCATGAACAGTAGAAATGAGGATGGGCAGGTTGTGACAGTCTAAAAAATTAATACTTTAATGGCTGGTGTTGAATCCATTTTTATTGAATGTTACTAGGGGAGAGGTGCTACTGGAATATGCATTCTTTACTGTGGATGTTAAGATTCTGTCCTAGACTGCATAGACTCCCGTGTACGTGTCATGTATGTGATGGTTGTGTATATATGTAAGCAGCCCCCCAAGACGTGTTATAAGGAAGTAACCGTTAAACTGGAGTAGAATATTTTATGGTTTAAAGTTAATAAAAGAGGTCCTCACAAATAAAGTGTACTTTCATTCACATATTGTAAAGTTAATAGAATCCCAAAGACAGATGGAGGCTCTCAAAATTTTGCCCAGGCAGCAATGAACTTTTTAATGGTATGGAATAGCAACACCATAGTTCTGATGACAGCTAGCTACTCTAGTTTGGGTTATGGCTTCTAGAAATTATTATCTAATTATCTAAAACTAGTTTACATAAAAATCCAGGCCACTATAGAATGACTTCTACAACACTGATTATGGAAGGGTAGAATCTCTTATTCAAATACTTCTAAGTGGCTGCATGCCTCTGACAAGTAGAAGTAAGCCAGTCACACAGGAAAAAAATGGAGGAAACAATCATACCTAAACCATCACATTATTGTCATGCTTGTTCATTGGTTCTGGTTCTTCTTCCATCTCACTTCTGCAACTAC